TAATGGTGTGAAATAACAACAAGATAGATCTAGGTTGTATATTAGGGAAAACTTTTTATGAAGATGGTTTAAGTATTGGAACCGACTAGAGCAGAGGTGCTCAACCACCAGCGTGGGAACCAGATCCAGCTCATGGAGCCATGCCGTGGTTCCCCAAGGATCAGAAAAGTTAATGGCGGTGGAACTGAGCAGTGTTATTTGCTACTCTCCTGCTGCTATTTCTGGACCTGTGGGAAACCTGCAAGCCAGATAGCATGGCCCTGCCTGCTAGATCAGTCATGCAGGGTTGGAGCTACATGAGGCCTGATCCAGGAACACAGGGCCATTTCATGACGGTGTGGGGCCCATTCCAGGTGCATAAGGCCCAATCCCATACAGGGTCCAGCCCCTGAATAGGCCCCATGCCACTCATCCAGCCTGTGGGGCCAAAAGGTTGAGCACTACTTTACTGGCAAGGTTGTCTCATCAGCCCCACCAGAAGTTTTTAAGTGCAGGTTAAACCACCATTTGACTGGGATGGTTAAAATAAGGGACGATCCCACCTTGGGCAGGGGCTAGAACTAGATGAGTCTTGATGTCCTTTCCAGCTCTATTTTCCTATGATTTCATGATAACCAAGTAGACCAGAAAGTTTATTTGGCCATAGATCCCATTATACCATGAAAGTCAGAGGTTCTCATATGAAACAATGTACTCACATATTTGGGCCGACAAATGAGAGGTCCCCAAAAATATAGACTACCAAAATGTCTGTACAGCACAGGACAAATTATAACACTAACAGCTAAAAGAACATTACTGATTCATACTGAAACTGAACTCTTTTTAATAAATACAAAGTTGGTCTAAAATATCTGTAAGTGTGGCTTTGATGTTTTCAATACTTTTTCTAGCTGATGCAACAGCTGATTCTCCCAAACTAAAAGATACATTTATTAAGGATTCAGATGGCAATGTAGCTCATGAAAACAGTATCATTCTGAAGGAATTCAATACTCCTTCTGAAGCTTCAGAGACTTGTGTCATTAAATGTAGTCTCTTTTCAGTTATGTTAAACCTTCCTAAACTTTGAAGGTTTAAATTAAGCCTATAATCCAGAAGTCCTATTGCAGATTTACAGGCCTTCCTGTTTCCATTCTTATAGTATAAAATACATCTTTATTGCTTACTTAGGTATCAGCCACCTGCACAGCCTCATCTAGGAATTACTGCATAAAACATCTTTCTAATTATGTAGAAAAACTAAAGCCCATTTAAACAAGACTTAAGGGTCTGAATCATAGCTCACTTCTCTTCAGAGCAGCAAGGTACAGTAGATGTAGCACTAGATCTGGATTTAAGAAGGCCTGGTGTCATTTCCACTTATTTTACTGGATCATAGGGTGCCCTTTCCTTCCTGTGACTTAGTTTCCCAATCTGTAAACGGTTAGTGACATTGATCCTGAATAATGATACTGACCAAAAATCAGTATAAAAAGGCTCAGTATTATGACCTCTTCAACTATATATACTGACTACTGTCACTTTTGAATGAGAAACATTGCAAATAAGATTTCCAAAGAGCAAATGAAACTGGTAGTTACTTCTATAATTTTTAAGGACAAGACATGCTTTACACTTGTTAGATCATCCGTCTGAAACCCAGAAATCTGCACGTTGTTATACAGCATAAGCCCATTCTCCCATGATCCACAGACTGTGTCACAAGGTAGAAGGGAGTACATTCCTAGATTAAAGTAGTGGTGGGCTTTTCTTTCTTTGTGATGTTCTTAGCTCTGCCTGGTAGCCACATGTGGTAATTTATCTAAGCATTTTGGCACCCATCTCATCTGAGATTGCATTAGGCCCCTTTGATCCCTTTGAAACAGTACTAATATCTAACGAACAGTTTGAGTTCAAGTTGATTAAAACTAATTTTATTGGAAGCCAATATTTGCTATTTAATAAAACAAATATTTACTACCTTCGATTTGTGTAGAAGGGCAGCATTTCACATTTATTGATCATGGAACTAAGTCCTGTTATGAACTTGCTACAACTTACAAAGTCCTATGAAGGTATAATTCCCTCTTTTAATACATGCCATTCAATTCATGTGGCTGTCAGACAAAGCAGTATTTCTTTTGCCCATGTATTTATTGCAGTTCCTCTGAGATATTAAAGCTGACTGGAGCAGATGAGGACTTAGCTGAAATGCAATCATCAAAATAATGGTGTTCCCAGAATTTCATATAGTTGACAAATCAGTGGCCTAATTCAGATCTCATACTAGTGTATATTCAAGGAGTCAATGGAAATATGCCAGTGTAAACCTGAGAGGCAGGTACGAACAGGATCGAACTCCATATTTCTATATAAATTTCCTCTGAATGTGCTCTTATTTCATTTGCTATGATAAAAAATATCCTGATACTAAAATTGTATTTCTACATTTAATACAGGATAAAAGAAGAATTGCTATTCCATATTTATTATTCTAACAAGTAGAGATGCTTTTTAAATTTACATGAGGAATGGGATTTTTGAATGTTAGCTTCAAATTAGTTAATTTAATTGAATTAGTTGAATTAATGAATAAAACACCAAAATAAAGCTCCATTCTTGTAAAAAAAAATATTAAAAAAGCATAAATAAATGAGACTAGTTTGTGGTGTATAACATGTTACTAGTATGGTATGAAATGATAGAATGTAGCAATTACTTTTACTATTAAACTAGTACTTCAAGAGGTTGACAGCAGTAACAAAATGAAATCACTGGGAGAGAAAAGGGATTAGGGACCAAACGGTACCTTTGTATTAACAGCAGATTTACGTTTGTGCACACAGAAAAAAAGATTGATATTGCCTACATACTTTTCTTTAAAGTATCTACAAAGTGAAACTTTGGTGCCCAGATTATTTCACATGCTTACTACAGTTAAGTTCAAGGAAAAGCACATTTCTATGAGTAATTGATATTGTTATTAATAAAACTAGATTTTTCTTAAGAATGAATCTTGCCTAAGGTTTACACCCTCAAATAATGTTCAGTAATAGTAATATTAGTTAAGTCCAAAGAGAAAAAAACCCATTTGGATTACTATTGCTTCTAAACAATGGCATCATGTCATTCATAGCAAGGTAATTTACTAAGGATAATACAGTCATTAATAGCAAGGTTTGAAAGTTCAGCCCATATTTGTTTCTATGTCCCACTTGCTCACCACCACCCAGTAAGAAAAGCAAGTTCACAACCCAAATACAGCCCTATTCTGCAGAGTGCTTTCTGGCTTTTCTTGTGACCTCCATGCTCAAGATCAGCATCTCTTCTGGCTGTCATTTTAGAAATTCAGGATCTAAGAAATGGCAGCTCTTACTTAGTCCATTTGAAGCAGGTAGTGAAAATGATCAGTAAATACAGAAATAAACCAAAATCCACGCAACATTTCATTATAACACTTGCTCTGTCTCAGGCACATGATGCAAATTAAGAACTGCAAAGCTAGGAAGAAAACCCAAGTTATTCATAGAATAACATACATCATGTTCAGAGTAACCTGCCTGTAAAAAGAAGCAGTTTTAAACTTGTATTTTTAATGCTTCTCTATCATGTAAAATGTTCTAGATTCACAAGAGAAGAATCCCAGAATATATTGTTCTGGTATGATAGTTAAGTCATATTTGATAGAAAAGCTCTTTACGCTTATATGTATTTTTGGGGTGTGCAAAGGAATATTTCCTGCTAGACTTAATTTATTTCTTTCTGAAGGAGAATGGGGTACAGTTAATATAAGTACACTCAATGCATTCATTGACTACTGCCTCAGATTTTAAAAAAATTACAAAAATCTGTACAACAAATCAAGAATAATCACAGGGAGTCTTGGAGGAATAAGAGCAGATCTGAACTTATCTACAGAGTTGCACGGCATTCTCCCTAATCAACATGCCAGGAAATGTGGCTGTGTGAGAGGCTGAGAACACAATAAATCCAAGACTTCCAACCTTCAAAGATTAGGTTTGAAAAGGAGATCTGTAGAACGTAATCCTATTGTTGCACTACCTCGTCTATTAGAAAAGATTTGAAATGTGAAATTTGACTACAGAAGGGATCAATTTATTCCACTATTTAGTAATTTCTTGCCACGGATCACACCCATTTATGATTTCACTTGTTTAAACAGGCTTACAGTTATGTGAAAATGTTACATATCATTTCAGGTTTATCATTTTGCGGCTATACCACAGTGAAAATATGTTTGTATATACCGAGAGAAAAACATGCTAAAACACAAGCATTTTAATCATTGTTATTATTCTGTTAATAGGTAATATAAGGGTAATGAAAATTTACAAACTTTGTGTCTTAAACCCTCAGTTGGAGAAAATATAGTCTTTCTTTTATTAACTAACATTATTAATACTCTGTTTTTTAGGGCTTGATCCAAAGGCCACTGAAATCCATGGTAAGACTAACTGATTTCAATGGCTGTTGGATCAGGCCCACGCAACCATTTGTATGAGCATCCCGAACTGCATTACAAAGGAAGGTATATATCTTTATTTCCCATTTACTGTGTCTAATTTTTACCCAGTTTTCCAACTGCACCTGGAGATACCATCTTGCATTTATTTAAGATTTAAAGATACTGGTGCTTTTACATAGAGGTGTACACACGGAGATGTACAAAGCCCTAATTGACTCTGTTTCTTCTTTTCTGCATTCTATTAGTGATGTACTATTACCTTGTTAAATGTTGGCAGAAAGACTGATTTGTTATGTCTGTTGTTCATGATTTACTGGCTATGGCAAAAACAGGTTCACCTAGAGAGGCACTGTAGACATACAAGCTGAAACCATCTTGCAAGGGGTTAAGTTTGTAATCACTATCTAGTATATTCATAATCCCAACCACAGCCCAGTAATAGAAGAGAGAGTGGATCTAGAAGGTGCAGGAGGAGACGTGTTTATGTGTGTGTGCATGTTTTTTTCTTTCATGCATCTATATTGCCTTCTATTCTACTGGAATAAATCTTTTCCATTTTGAGCAGAAATCTGTATACTAGTTATCCCCTATGGATAGTTGAAGAAAAGACTTTTACTCGGACAACCATCTTTTAAAAATAGTTTTACTGAAGATTTCATTCAGGAATATTTTTTGCTTATTGGCAGATGGGCAGATGAAAGAATGGGCAGATAGTTGGAAATCAAACTTTCTCCCGAGTAGAAGCAAACCTGTGGAGCCCGAACAATGGAAATAGTTGATGACAGTCTACTTGAAAATGGAACCAATATTTCTGCTCTTTTTTGTGATATTATCTTGGAAAATGATACATTTTTCTGTGTGGATGACTCACCTCATCCTGCTAAAGGTATGTACATGAAAATACATTTTTTCAGAAAGCAACAGTTTGAGCTGAAAGTAAAATCAGAGATATTTTAAGAGAAACAGGTACTCAGAGGTTTTTTGAGGCAGAGCAAAAACAAGCATTAGCTGATAAATTCAGATAAGCAACAGACTAAAAAGAAATTAATACACCCTGTCTCTTCAGTTTATAAACATGGCAGGAAAGAAATATAAAGCTAAAATGAAAAGATAACAATAGTGATACCAAGTCAAAATACAGATAGCAACACTTGAATGCTTAATAATATGTACATACTTTGTACTACTACTGGAAAATTTAATAACTGTGGAGTTATATGATTATATGTAGCATATGAAAGTGATTAACATGATATATGTCATGCCTAAAAAATTACTAATATACTAAAATAATACAAATTGCCATTTATTTTTGGTTCTTAACATGAGTTCACTGTAATTTAAATTGTGCTTTGCAATGCTTATTTTTGAGTAGCATGTACTTTTGAGTAGCCAAATATAGTTCTCAAAGTGTACAGTGTATTGAATATATTGTACTTAAACATTATACAGTTCAGGCAGATCAGAATCAAACTCAGAATTTACTTCCACCAGTTTTACTTTGGTGTAAAGATACCAGCTTCAGTGGAATTGCATACAAGAAAAGTCCACTGCCTTGAATGTTGAAGCAGCCTTTACCTTTTGCTTAACAGATTAGACCTACTGATAAAAGCTAATACAGTACATGATTTGCATATTTTGTAACTAATTCTTTATTGTGGCACTTTTCAGATTTGCATCAGACAGTTCGGATTCTGCTGTATTCCTTGATATTTTTGCTCAGTGTGTTGGGGAACAGTCTGGTAATTACAGTGCTGATAAGAAACAAAAGGATGAGGACAGTCACTAATATATTTCTGCTGTCACTGGCTGTCAGTGACCTGATGCTTTGCCTTTTCTGCATGCCATTCACCCTCATTCCTAACCTGCTGAAGGATTTTATCTTCGGTAGTGCTGTTTGTAAAACTGCCACCTACTTCATGGGTAAGTCTCTCAACTGTCGCATTTTATATTTGCTCTAAAGATGAACCCATTAGGGTTTGTGAAATGCTAAATAAGGGCCAGATCTTTTAACATGCTAAGATATCCCAACCCTGGTTAAACAAAATTGAGTAAATGTTAAGCACTCATGGGAAAGATCAGCACTATGAAATGCAAGTAGCACAAGCAGTGACTAAAACGTCTAACATATAGAGGTAAAAACTTCTTCTGTGCAAGTAAAATGGACTAGAAGGAGTCCTGTTATGAAGAGTGAGGGTAACACCCATTTATAATGAGCAGAGTGTTCAGAGTCAAATCTGCTCACTTCAGAGACAAATGGTTTTACCTTTGTTGGACCAGCAGAGTCAATACAGAAATAAGGACTCAGTCTTGCAAGGTGCTGAGCTCTCTAGCATAGGCCAGTGAAACCTTTGGAATAGGCTGAGTGTTCACTACTTTACAGAATCAGCCTGTAGGACGGGAGCTGCATTCAAGGCCCTTATTATCAGCAGAGCAGTTAACAGTTTGGATTGCTGGGCAAATAGATTACGATTGCACAAGCATAACCAAGGGCAGAATTGTCTACTCCTAAGTGACAAATGAAAAGGGGGAAAACCCAGCCAGGTTTCGGCCTCCCTGTTGGGGCCTTAGGAGGTGGCAGTTTGTCTCTCTCTCACACACACACACTTTTATTTGTAAATGCATCAAATTTGTCCAGAAGTCAGTGAACAACAATAATTGTGGAACCTCACAATACAGTTTTTACACTCACTTTGAAGAAGCAATATCATTTTAAAAATGCTTTGGCTGGACATTTTTCTTGTTACAGAGGTAGATCCAGGAGCTGCAGGTAGACTGGTTTATGAAGCAGCTGCAAGCCACAATCTCTCACTTCAGAAGCTTTACTTAAAAAAAAATGTAAAGTAACAACAAAGCCTTTTTGAAAAGCTTTTTTTTTCAAATCTCAAAAGTGACCCTTAGCAGTTCATTACAAAAATGTATGTATGTATGTATGTCCAACCTGCATCCTTCAAAACTATGAGGTAGTATGAAAGTGCACTTCTAAAGTGTGGGAATGGGAAGTCAACATCTTTCTTTAGATACAAATCAATAACACTAAAGTCCATATTTAAACAAATTGTAATGAATACTGACATGACAAAAATTACTGAAGCATTGATATTTTTACTTATTTCGTTATAAACACAAATTATCACGTTAAATTATTCAGAATACACACACATCTATGTCTACACGCACACACATTCCAGTATGAAATAAAAAATTACAAAGTTAATTTTATCTTACAAATCAGAGTGTGGATTTTCCTGTTAATAATTTAGGCCAATGGTGCTCAATCTTTTTCCTCCAGTGGGCTGGTTCAACCATGTACAGTCCATATGCTGGCTGGATTCAGCCAGTAGCCCCAGTCGGGGCTGGCAGGGGGGGAGGGGAGGGGCAGCCTGGCCCCAATCCAGCCCTGAAGGCCGGGATAGAAGGGGGCTTGACCTAGGTTCAGCTTGGCCCCAGGAAGGGAGGGGGCATGACATGGATCCAGCTCCATTGGGGTGGGGGGAGGGTGGCCCAGCCTTGATATAGCCCCACAGGGCCTGGGGTTTTAAAATTTGGCAGTGGTGGAGAGTGGCCATATTAAATTGCCACTATTCCCATCACCAAAATTTCCAAATCCGAGGAAAGCCCCATGGGCTAGATACCGTGGCTCCATGGGCCACATTTGGCCCACAGGCTGCAGGCTGAGAACCCCTGGTTTAAGTTAAGAAAGGAACAGTATTGATGAATAGTCCCTGATGTGCACTGCATCTCCCATCCACTTAACCTGTCACTTTAGGATGCAAGAGGGTTATAAATATGAATACTACAAACTACAAATGATTTTTGGCAAGCAACCTTTTATGTAAAAATGTTAATAACTTACATCTTTTTATTTAAGAGAAAATAATTTCATACCAGAAAATTCCTATGTGACTTAAGGTTAAAGGGAAGGAATATTTCTAGTCATGCAGCAATTGTTATTTTACAATTATAATTCCCCGAGGTCACAAGAAAAAAAAATACGTATAACACACTGTGTTATTTAATGCTTAATTTAATGCTATTTAATGCTATTTTTATATCTACTAGCAAGGAGGAAAAATTAACATACATTTTATAGAATCAGGTTCTAATTCACTACTACACTTCCTTCAGTTTGGTACTATATGCCTCCACTAAAGACTATGGAAGTGCATTTGACA